CTCCTGACGTCAGGTCCTGACTCACCTGTGGCCGGAAGGAGAGGGAGGGAGCGGGAGCCTCGCGCAGTTGGGAAGCGCCGTTTCCCCTGCGGCGAGTGGAAGCAGGAGCCGCAGGGAGGCCACAACAGGGCTGCTCCAGAGCTCCTGCTGCGGGGGTGGCCCTGGCCCCCTCCTCTCCTAGCAGCCCCTGGGGGCTGCTGTTCCCAAACCCTCTGGGTCCCAGATACCTCTATGAGCATTCCCGGGGCAGCGCGAGGGAGAGGCACTTGGAGAGAACAACGTCCCCGGGGCAGAGGCTGCTGGCAGCAGGGAAGGTCCCCAAGCGCCGGCCGAGGGGCCTGGGGCCACGTGGCCACAGGTCAGACCTCAATGGGGAGGCAGCCAGGGACCATCATCCTACAGGGAAATCCCCCGGCAGCCTCGCAAATTCCCAGGAAGCAGAAAGAGGATGTGCCCCCCCGCCGCGGGGAGGAGCGTGCGGCTTCCTCGGGGCGCGGAGGCTGGGACAGAACTTCCCCGCGCGCAAGTGCCGCAGCCCGGAGCACAGAGCGGCTTTGTGCCAGAAGGGCCGTGCACTCCCAGCGGCAATTCCCACTCCTGGCTGCGGAATTGCTGCCGTTGGGGCTGTGTGGAGGGCGCAGGGAAGGCCGGGCAGGCTGGAGAGCCCCCCCAGCACCGCATCCAGCAGCGACGGTGCCCAAAGCAGCTCCAGGAGGAGCAGAGGAGGAAAATAGGGATGGGGAGGGAGGCAACGCGGGAGAAGCAGCCGTTACCAGCCCCAAACGTCACTGACATCGCTGCTCCTTCCCGGGGGTCACACGAGCGCCCGGTGCCCAGCAAGTCCCATAAAACCTCTGCAGAGAGCCCCCCCAGCACCGCATCCAGCAGCGACGGTGCCCAAAGCAGCTCCAGGAGGAGCAGAGGAGGAAAATAGGGATGGGGAGGGAGGCAACGCGGGAGAAGCAGCCGTTACCAGCCCCAAACGTCACTGACATCGCTGCTCCTTCCCGGGGGTCACACGAGCGCCCGGTGCCCAGCAAGTCCCATAAAACCTCTGCAGGCAGCTCTTAACAGCAGGAAACAGCTCGTGGCGCCAACGGCGAGAAACGGCGAGTGACGGAGCCGGGCGAGCAGGGAGCAGCCGCCGCACGCGGGCCCAGGAGCCGCTCGCCAGGCCTGCGTCGCGCTCAGCATCCTCCGGCAT